TTTCCGGAGCAGCAACAGCAGCAGTCAGTCAGTTCCCGATCAGTTCAGCAGCTACTTTGAGGTGAGTTACCTTCCAGTAGCGGTGGGTCTAAGGCCACAATGCCGGCCCACCAGTAGGAGATGTGTGATTAGATGATTGTCTTTGTGATATTCATCTAGGGTTGCTACTACTGTGTTATGTTATGTGTTAGTGACAGTAGGGGGAGATAGTCCCCAGAATACCGGTCGATAGGGCCGAAGGGGCGGTTATGCCCAGCCATGCTAGATAGACTATGTGATATATGTGTTATGTGGTAGTAGTAGGGGGTGAAATAGTCCCCAGTATCCGGTCGAAAGGATCGAAGGGGAGGCCAGCACCCAGATATGCTAGGCAGTATCCGGTCGATAAGACCGAAGGGGAGGCCAGCACCCAGATATGCTAGGCGGTATCCGGTCGAAAGGACCGAAGGGGAGGCCAGCACCCAGATATGCTAGGCAGTATCTGGTCGAGAGGACCGAAGGGGTAGGTCGGGCACCCAGATATGCCTGACAAATTTACGTATGTTATGTGATTATGTGGTATGCGGTACAGTGGGGGAACTCACTAAGCTTTGTGCTTACGTTTTACAGTTTTGTTTTCAGGTACCTCTTCTTCGAAGGGGAAGGAGCTAGCGCGGTAGCGGCACATCATGCACACACTCTGGTTTCCGCATTTACGAGATTCACTGGGATTTGTACTCTGATATTTTGATGGGTTGTATGGTTTGGCTTTTTAAACATGGTTTACGTTATGTTGTGGTGTGATCAAACAATGTTTTTAATTATTAATGTTTTTTAAAGTAATGTTTTAAAACGAAATTTTCGGACGTGAAAATTGGGTCGTTACAAAGATGTAAAAATTTGATAGGTTGCAAACTTCATATCTGAGTTTTGATCGACTACACGCCTCCAAACCTCCAAATTCATTTTAAAGTTGCATATTTAATATAAAATACATATTTTATATAACTAATACATATTTATATATAAAAATATGTTTTGAGTGTAAAAAAAAAATATTTATACAAAACTATAATTTTTAAATGAAAAAAAAACATATTTATACGGTTTAAATGTATTAAAAAAATATTTATACGGTTTCAAATAGAAAATTGTCAACATTGAACAAAATTGGAAAAAATGATGTTCGATTTGGAACAAAAAAATATAGTGTCAAAGTTGAAAGAAAAAATTAAACTTAGTGTTTTTTGTGAGAAAAAAATTCAGTTTTGACACGTCATCATATAATGTCAGAATGTCACATCATCAAAACTGACACGTCATCATGCTACATCAGCATGTAACCTGGTTAACCGGTCAAGTGGTCAGAATTGTAACAAATTGGAAAACACAGTGTTAAAACTGACACAAAAAATAACACGGTATCAAAATCGAATTTTTGTGTAAAAATAGTGTTTTTTGTGCCATTTACCCATGAATAAATACAAAATTACAAATATCTATATTGACACTTTTTTTTTCCGTGGGACATAACATTTCTGAATAGATTATGGAATCCGGACTAGCCATTCCGGAATTACATCTGGGAGGGTCAATTCAATGATCTTTTACGTAAGATTGTTTATTTTATTTTATTTTTATGTGTTTTTTTAATGCTATGTGTTTATGGTATAATAGTTATTTGTAAATTTATGATTATAAGTTGGAAATTTGAGTAAACTTACCGAATGCTTATGCAGTTTGAAGAAAATAACCAACTTTTTTGCTTTAACTAACTCATGATTTCTACATGAACATCAATACATAATATTACTAGAAAAATAAATATTCATTAACATTCGGACAGTTCAAATAATAATAAATCGTGCAAATTGATCCTTATTTTTTACGTGTACCATATGTTATTCATGCAAATCACCTTTTGATATGAGTTGGCATGGGTCTTGGTGCATCCCTGAGTGACATGCGGTGAGTCTCAATAATTCCTCTTATTGTGTTGTACCTCTCTCGCCTATATAAGATCCGATGGTTTGGGAGAGATTCTTACCTCATTTTCGGTGGGTCATACTCTTCTTTCCCTCACTTCCCTTTCCCTCACCTAAAAGCCAAGGAATAGGTGGGTAGCCCTTCCCTCACTTTTTTTTTATAATATATTTCATACATATATTATACTCATTTTGTAGAAAATTAAAAACCATGAATTTTAATATATTTTTTATATTTTTATAGTAGATATATAATTTTATAAATATTAAAAAATATTTAAAAAAAAAAAACTAACTGACCAATAGCGTGAGAAGAGAGAGTGCGGCACCTCCTCCCCCACCTTTTTTCCTGCGTTTCTTTCCCTCACCCACGGAGTGGTGTGCAGGAGTGAGGGAAGCTTCCCTCACCTTTTTACCGCACAAACTCCGTCCAGCCTAAGAGTGACCGTGAAAATCTCAAGGTGATTACATGAATCGGTTTGGCGGTCGTACTCCCCTCCAATTTTAATAATTTTATATCTATAGTGTACGTGTAATTTTATTTAGGATCTGCTACTACTACTCTGTGTAATAAATTAATGTTATCTATTTTAATTTGGAAAATTATAAAAAACAACATAGCTTAAAAAACATGACTTTACGGCATTCGAAATTGGAGCAAGCCCGTCCCAGAGGGTGGGCAATAGAGGCGACCGTCCAGTGGCCATTTTTCAAAAGGGTCCAAATTTTTAATGGAAATTTTTATATTTAGAAGATAGCACAAATAATTTTCTTTCAATTATTGAGTTATTATAAAAAACTTGATGATATTTACGTATTTTAAGAATCCATTTTTTTTCTTTCGTGCTCGGACTAAAATATATTTGGAACGGTCCTTAATTAATAAGTGATATCTTTATGGGTAGTTTTTAATACATAGAACACAACGAAAAAAAAACTTAATTCAAAACAAATTTAGTACCAAAGAATTATGAAGATTCAAGTTGGGTGGGCTTTGCATCTTTGTGGCTAGGAAGCCTACTTAAAATTAAATTTTTTTCCTTCCAACCCTATTAATCAACTATTATATTAATTTCTTTTCTTTTCTTTTTCTTCTATTTTTTTCGACTCACATCGTATTGAAACTTTATTTTTTTCAATTCGTTTAATCCATTTTCGATATCATTCTTTTTTATTTAATTAAATTAGAAAATATAAATTAAAATAAAATAAAATAAAATACTTTTTCATTTAAAAATAAAATTTTGCTAACTTAAATAAAAATCTAAAATAATATTAAAAAGATATTTAATTAAAAAACCACACTACAAATAAAAAAATACATAATAATTATAAAACATGATAATTAAAAACTACACTTCAATGTTTTGGTTGTGTTGATATATATATATATATATATATATATATATATATATATATATATATATATATATATATATATATATATATATATATATATATATAAAAGAAAAGAAAATAATAAAAAAGTAGCAAGTAAAAAAATTAAATGCACTTCAATCAATTAATTGGCTTGCATATGTTTTAGCAAAATACACCTTAAATCAGTTCACATGTTCCAATCAAAATAAAATTACATATACCTTAAAAGCATAAAAAGGTTAAGGTTAGCTGCAGTACTTCTTTTTCTCTTGGGAAAATGACTTGTAACGGTAATGATGTTTTACCCGTGTTCACATTATACCATTCATGTTTTTTTTTTTTAACAAAAAATACCATTAAAATGTGTTTCCTGTACATATTTTACCATTGGTAACCGGATACAATAGGTATCCCGGTATTTTATTTATTTTTTTAAAAAAATTATGTGGTAAATACGTGGCTCACCCCTCTCTCAATTAAACACCCTCACCCATAATTAAACACTCTCAAAGCACGATTTCTTCTTCACTCTTCAAGACTGTAGCAGCTTTCTCAAATCCATGGCTTCCTCTTTTACGTACAACTCCAACACCAGATCGAAGAAAATCAAGTCAAAATCGAAACTTGATTTTGCAAATCCCTTTGATTGTGGCTACCCTTCTCGTATATGGACTTCAACGACCAAAGATAATCCTGGAAAAGAGTTTAGGGTTTGCCCTAATTCAACGGTATGTCGGGTTTAATCTATATGTAGTAAGGTCTTTTCAATAATTTTCATATATTTGTTTTAGGATAACCCATAAATTAAATGCAAATTCTGGGAATGGGTTAATGAAGAAGATACAGTCAACAAGAAGAAAGAGATGAAGTGGGAGCACAATCCTGTGAAGTGAGGGCACAATCTTGTGAAGTGAGGATTGCAATTATGGACCATGATTTCAATATTTACAAAAATAATACCGATGAAGAATTTGATAAGATAATTAGGAAAATTAGCAGTCTCAAAACATATGTAATTGTGTTGTTTATGTTGTTTGTAGTATCACTTTTAAGGGCATAAATGTCAAATTGTAATCAGATATTATGGTTGTTTTGCTGAATATGATTGAATGAACATGTTTTGTTGTTGCTAAATTGACTGATGTACATTCTTAAGTTTGAATATGATTTAATCTTAAGTACAAGCAACATTGAATGAGCATTCATGCATTGTCTTGTTAGGGTAATAATGTGCAGAATTTTACCCCTGTACAAACAACTTTGCAGAATTTTACCCCTTAATGTGCAGAATGGCATAATGGTCAAAATGAAGGAATCCTAAGAGCATACTGGTCAAAAAGAATCTTATGTAAAAGCAACTTTGCAAACAACTTTGTAGAATCTTATGTTTGAATATGTTTGAATATGATTTAATGTGAATAATGGTAAAAAATAATATGAAGGGCATAATGGTCAAAAAGAAGGAATCCTATGTAAAAGCAACATTGAACGATGTAGATTATATTTAAAGGGTAATAACACACAAAGGTGCAGTTTTTAATGTGCATATTTACATCAAAAGACAAGCATAGTTTTTAGCAAAAGACAAGCATAGTAATTTCTGCCCTAAACAAACAAAAGCACAGTTTTTAATGTGCAGATTTACATCAAAGGGAATCATTCCAGTGTAACAGGTTTATTCACACTTAAACCACATCCATCCTTGGTGATGACCACCCTCCTTAATGCCACTTCAGTGATCCTCTCTGAGTATTTCCTTTTCCTCTTCAATGGTTGTGCTCTTTGTTCAACTTCAACAACAAGTTGTGCAGCAGGTTCCTCAACATCTTCAATTACAGGTTCAACAACAATTTGTTCCAATTCATGCTCAATAACAGATTCATGAACTTGTTCCTAATCATGTTCAACAACAGCTTCAACAGCAGGTTCAACAACAGGTTCAACAACAGCTTCAACAACTTATTCATAAACTTGTCCCTGATCAGGTTCATCAACATCTTCAGCCAACTCTTCAATCTCAGATTCAGACTCTGATTCATACTCATCTTCAACTTCAGCCATATCTTCAATCTCAAATTCAGACTCATCCTCAACATCAGGAACATGTTTACCCTTCTTCTTTTTGGCTTTAGTACTTGGTCCTACATTAAAATTTATAATGCATTAATAGATAATACCAAGGTTGCAAAAAACGCTCGGTGTTAGCTAGTCAGTCGATTGGGGTCAAGGGATTAATCGGCTCGGCGGAGATTGATCGGAGGATTAATCGGGTACCATTAATTGCTAATTTGTTGAATTTTAAGAAATTAAATATGAATAATATCATATCAAAGTTCGTAAATACCACTGATATGAAAACAAAATAGGTTAATATGATTAATACAACACTAATCATGCCTCAAATAGTTTCCATTAAGATAGAATTTCTTCAAAATGTCAAAAATTCATCGTTTTATAATGTTTCACTTATTATGTATGCAAGGATTAATCGTTAGGCATCCTCTAATCGGTCGAGTAGCGCCTAGAGATTAATCGGAGATTAATCGGGACCTAGTCGAGATTTTTACAACAGTGGATAATACTTATATTTTTTTTGTAAATGAATGATACTTGATATGAAAAAAACCTTCTTTGGACAGTGGACATCTTATTTTGTTGTGTCCTGGCTCTCTACAGATGTTGCATTTTGTAATAGCCCCTTTCTTGCTAATAGTATGTCGACCTTCTTTTTCTGAAGCAGCCTTCTTCCTATTGACTTTAGGTCTGCCAGGTAATCTTTTACGTTTCAGGGGCAACATAGGTTGACCTTCCCAAGATGGCCACATTTCACTTCCATTTAAAGGATTAATTGTATACTTATAGCAATTTCTAAACATTTCTGTTGTGAACCAAGTTGCCACATAGTCTTCCACATTCTCATTTAGATAACTGATAGCAGCCATGGCATGTATACATGGTATACCGCTTAGTTTCCATCCTCTACATGCACATGTTCTTTGGTTCAAGTACACAGCATAAACCTTATGTACTGACCTCACCTTAAATTATTGCACTCCACTGGGAATTACATACCAATACCTATAAAATAAAGGAATATAGTATAAAATTAGTTTTGGGAATTACATGCCAATACCTATAAAATAAAGTATATATATCTTAGATGTTTCCTCTTGTCCACTATTTTCTTTCTAATAGATGGACATATGGCTAGATTCCATTTCTTCCCCTTCAATCTTTTACAATACATCCTATCCATCACAAACCTCCTAATTTCCTCTAAATTGTTATAATCGGTTTTTTTCCTAGCATGCACAATTGCAGCATTAAAAGATTCACAAATACCATTCTTAATGGTATCACAAGACCTGTCCAATACAAAAAAAAGCCCTAGACCAGGATTTTGGATCTCTTTCCATCAAGTGATCATATGCTTGTATATCAACCACCCTAATCTCTTTCATTATACCTTCAAACCTTTGCACAGTTGTGGCCTTTGCAGCCCTCCAAAAAAGCTTCCTATAAGCAGCACCCTTAAATTTTTTCTTGAAATTAGCATAGACGTGCCTAGCACATTGCCTATGCTCAACATCTGGTACTCTTTCTTTAACAGCCTCAATAAGACCCTAAACATGCAAGATAAACATAACATTAAGATAAATAAAACAGTAACCAATTAAAAAACAGTTAGGATAAATACCTTGTGTTGGTCAGAAAGTAAGGTTAATCCTGCCCCATTTCCCATGTTAATGTCCTTAAGTAGTAAGTTTAGAAACCACTTCCAAGTTTCTTTGTTCTCAACTGCAACTACTGCCCAAGTAATGGGGTAAATATGGTTGTTAGCGTCTCTACCTACAACTGAAAGAAGCTCACCTCGGCAAATACCTATTAAAAAGCAACCATCTACACCTATAACCCTCCTGCATCCTTCAATCCAACCATCCTTTACACCTTTGATACAAACACATCCTAGAAAAATAAATTGTGGAATCAGGCATTGTATCCATCCCAATTTTCACTGTTGACCCTGGATTAGCTCTTAATATCTCAGCTCCATAACTCCATAATTTTTCATAATGTGTGTTCAAACTGCCTTCGATATCATTAAGTGCAAACTTCTTTGCATTCCTGCATTGTCCAACACTAACCTTCACATTGAAAATTTCCCCAACTTTATCCCTCATATCCCTGCAACTCAATTTGGTATTTTCTAAAATATCATTAAGAAAATGTTTCCCTATCCATGAGTAAGTAACAGCTGACCCAAACTTGAAGGTTCTAGCACAATTATGCTCATTAATTAAGGACTTAATTTGGAATGACTTTTCACTGCTTATCCAAGTAGCCCATAGTCTAAAAGGACATGCTGGCTTTCCTTCACTAGTTTTACAACACCTGACTAACAACCTAGTTTTATCATTTTTTTTCATACCAAAGGTTAAAACCGTTTGCTACTGCATAGTTTGAGACAAGTTGTTTAAGTTCTTGAGGGTTACAAAACCTCATACCAAGTATGGGTTGCATTGTATCCCATTTCTGAGTTGAGTCATGAAAAGGATAAATCGGGGCTTCTTTGGTTCCATTATCTGAATCATCATCCTCATCAACAAAATCATCTCTAAGGACAACACTAATATAGTTAAGAAAGGGATCATCAGATTTAGTCAATGGTATTACCTCTTCATCGGGTTCATGATCAACAGATAGAGCATCAGACATGACCGAGTCTTTATCTTCATCAAAGCTTTCACTATCAACACCTTTTTCTTCCTTTTCTTCCTCTATCTAGTCAAGCACCGAATAGTTGTAGTGATCAATATATACATTAATCTTTCCCTCGTTACCATGTGCAGCATCAAGAAACCTCCTGTAGTCATCATCATTTTTCAGTGGTGTCAACCCATCACGCATTGACTTATGTCCAAGACAGTAGTAGACAACAGGACACTTCCCCTTTGTGACATCCTCAAGAACATAAATGAACTCCTTGAAATTTAATCCATCAAAATCGACATCTGTAATTGACGTTTTTTAGATCAGGTAGTATATAAGATGAGGAATGGGGGGAAAACATTCCATCGTAATGAACATCTACTTGAATGTAAGTTGATCCTTTTGCATTAGATGGACCTGCCATGATTGATCTCAAACAAACCTTCGACTGAGAAAACCCTACACAACGATCTTGGTATGAGGGTGTTTAATTGTGCTTTGAGAGTGTTTAATTGAGGGTGAGGGTGTTTAATTGAGAGAGGGGTGAGCCACGTATTTTCCACATAATTATTTTTTTTTTAAATAAAAAAATACCAGGATACCTATTGTATCCGGTTACCAATGGTAAAATATGTACATGAAACATATTTTAATGGTATTTTTTGTTAAAAAAATATGAATGGTATAATGTGAACACGGGTAAAACATCATTACCCTTACAAGTCATTTTCGCTTTTCTCTTTCATCAATTCACACGGAAGTTTTTTTTCCTTATTTTGGACACCATACTTCATACATTCTCTCCTACTTATCTTAGTTTATTACCGCCTAGTCTTCCATTCCACCAATCATATTTATTACACTTTCTTTACTTTTGTTCCTGTTTTCCGGTTGCTTCTCCTTTCTCTTTGCTTCCTACGCTCGTATTCTCCCTTACAGGATTCGTTTTTTAGCTATGTTTTGTAATTCTCCCTCTATAATCTCATGTCAGCAACTTCCACTTTTAAACGCCGTTTTTCTCCCCCATTTAGCTGGACTTTTGTCTTTCGAAAAAGGATTATCTTCTTCTGTTGGTAACGATGCATTACTTTTGCATTCTTATGATGATATCGATGATTGCAATTTTATTTGTAAATTTTGTAGTGCTTTTTTCTTGTTTTATGAAAGGGTTCTGTATCTGTCACGCTCAGATTGAGTTTCCCTCTCTTTCGTGCCTTCTCCTACAAGTTTACGTTCTTCCGTTTTTGTTGTGTTTTACCTTTTCTGTGGTTGTTTTTACTTTACTTTCGCGTGAATACGCTCTTTCTCTTGTATTGATTTCGCTATCCTAACAAAGCGACAACTTCTCTTAGGTCACTTTATTTGGTGCTAATTTGTAAGGGGTATTGATTTTTTATTTACTTCTTCCAATTTTGGCTTCAATTTTGACTAACTTATCAACTACTTTTATTCTATTATATATCTTCCCTCCAATTGGATATGAGTGGTGTGTTTTAACTTACTAATTCATTGTGGCACAACACATGCTCAACAAAATGCAACATTGAAGAATATTGATTTTTTTGCATACAATATATTATTCATATGTATGTGTAAACTAAAATTGGAATTTACGTATCACAGAGTTGATTGACTTATATTCCCAAGATTTGATGTAACCATGGAACATTGAAGTCATTAATGTTACCGGTTATTGTTTGGATTATCTATAGTAAGTCGTTTTCCTTTGTTGCATTTTCACTTTGTTAGGACAAAACAAACGTTTGCTAAGGCTTTGAAGGTTAGATACTCATGCAGTTTCTTTTAAGAATGTTAGTTCTATTTTTTCATCTTTATTTACAATAAGGCAATCAAATAACATAAATTTGTCTCATGTTTTGCATATTATCACTGATAAAATGAATACTGCTGCAATGAAGGTTTGTTTCCCTGAAAGTGCAGTTTACTTCATTGAAGATGGGGAGAAGGTTCCTGTTGTTTAAAGCAACAATAAAATGAATGAAGAAAGAAAAATGTATGTTTGTTCTTGTGGGTATAACTTTTTTAGAAGCAATATTTGTACTATTATAAATCGTTTGATTTGGCCCACGAATGAAGTTTTGGATTTGAGAGTTGAAATCAGTTTTAAGGATTTGAAAAATCTTATTATATCTTGTAATCCATGGAATTCGTTTGCCTTTTGGTCTTGGGCCAATAAGTATGGATAATCATTAGCCTTTAGGTAAATAATCAGTATCTTATTTTTTTTCATAGGAAGAGAAATACAGGTTTGAAATTAGAAGAACTACCTGCTCTACAGTCGTTTTAGGTCCTAGGTACCTTTTCATTCATTTTTGGGTTCAATATTAGTGCTAAGCTAAACTACTTTTATTGATACTTGAACATTGTTCTATGACTGCATTTTGTAATAGGAAAAGTAGAATGACATTCACATGGATTTCCACTCTTAACCTTGGTAACACAGCTAACCTGATTAAGGTTAGATTGCTTACGATATTATACTTTTAGCAAATAATTATATTTTAAATTGCATTTGCTTTAGTTTTAGCCTTGATTTTCTTTAGCACTTTGGTTCAACTTTTATTTCCTAACCTACAAATTAATACAGATAAAGAGTTATGCTCATCATGCTCATCCTGGTCATTTTCTGATTAGGTATTATAGTTTATTTATTATTTATTTATTTTTAATTTTATTATCATTTACTTCAGTTTTTTATTTACTAATAATGAAGATTTGATGAATTATAAAAGTATGTAATAATGATTTTCAATGCATCTAAGTGGATTCAAGTGAACTTGAAATTATTCGTGTCTTAACGAGGCAACTCGGACGGTTATGTGAAAAGACCAATATTTCAATTTGTATTCTTTTACATTGCAACCGATAAGTTTGTACTTATGCTTGTGTTATCAATGTTTTTCTTTCCAGGATGTTAATGGAGATGGTCAAATTTGACTTAAATTGAGGCCCGAATATAAAAAATCTTCTTTGGAATACACATTGAACGTTTCCTAAATTATACCATCATTGTTCTTATGTTCCTCTTTATCATTGTTGAGTGCATTTTGTAATAGAAAAAGTAAATGAAGTCAATGAAATATAAAACAAAATTTTATCAACATTTAGGTAAAACGCCAACGGTGCATATAATTCTACTAGTAATAAATGAATCATAAAGGACGTAAGCTCTAAGACGGGATGGTATGGGACTCAATGAGTAATGACATGGCTGAGGTGGCATACGGAAACACGGTCATAACGGGGGGGAACACCCCCCTACTCGTTGCATCTCGTCGATCAATTTTCGTGGCCGTCACAACGTCTTGAAACGGGAAGAAAAAAACGTTGGGGCTTATGACCGTTTGAAACGGTCAATATTTAAAATAAAAAAATACCTTTTTACCTCTCTCTCTCTCTCTCTCTCTATATATATATATATATATATATATATATATATATATATATATATATATATATATATATATATATATATATATATATATATATATATATATATATATATACTCATTTAATCCAACTTTTATATCTTTCTATTATTATCTTTATATTTTATACATTTTCTTTAATAAAAAATGGATCAAAACCCAAATACCCTCCCTCCATCATCAAACCCAAACACACAACTAAACACAACATCGCTTCTCGGATTTACGGGCTATGGAAATTATTTCAATCTTTAATTGTCTCAAGGATCACTACAAGTCTCATACCAAGGTGCCGTTTTCAATCTCGTTTCACCACCACTGCAATTTCCCAACTTACCTTACATTCAACAAAATCTATTTGGTTAAAACCCAAATTTACAACAAAATCTTTTCCTTACTTTTGCTTCGATGCAACAAACAACCAACCAACAATCCCCTACAACACAACAATCAATTGAAGTGGAAGTTGGAGGTAGTAGGAGAGAGAAAGGGAAAGGAAAATCAATAGCGGTTGAAATAGAAAATACAGACGTTCTACAATAGTGGACACCGGAAGAGGAATATGGTTTGATGGCGGTTTGGTGTGCTACTTCATAAGATGAACTCCGCAGAAATTGAATGAAGAAAGGAGCTTATTTCGGAGGGGGGGGGGGGGGGTGCGCGACAAGTTTCATGTTATTTTGAAGAAAAATTTGTATCGCAACAATGACATGTTGAGCAGCAAATGGGGTCAAATAACTAAACGGTGCAATAAATTCAACAATATTTACAACCGGCTTGAGGCGCAACAAAAAAGCGGAACCAACAACTTCGACTTGTTCAAATCTGCTAAGGAACAATATCGAATTGAAATGGGTAATGTTTTCGACTTTGAAAAATCATGGAAGTTGTTGCAAGTGGATCCAAGGTGGAATAAAACACATACATCGTCGGAGGTTCAATCCAAAAGGTCTCGCAGTTCTAGCTCGGTCGATGTGTCGGACGCATGGACTCACATCGACCTAAACGCCGACGACGATGAGATCCCAGATGATATCCAAGAGATATCCCCACTACGACGACTGCCCGGATGCGACAAAGTGAGGTGCGCTGCAAGACATGCGGAGGAGGTGGAGGCGAAAACAAAAGAGGCGGCGGAAATGAGAGTGAAATTCGACGAGCACAATTTATTAATAAAAGAAAAAATGACTTGAAACGTTGTCATTTAGAGTTCCTAAAAAGGCAGGAACGGGAGAAGTAGGAGAAAAAAAGGGAATTGATGACACATCAGTTGTCAATTCTTCGGACAAGCGCGGACGGTTTGGCGCCTGCTGATCTAGCGGTGCTACAAGTGATGAATGAACAAATTAGGAAGAAATATTTTTCTTAATTAGGATTGTTGTGTGGTTTTAGCATTAATTTGAATGGTATTTTAGTTATGATTTTAGGTTTAAAATTATGTTATTTTATTCGTAATCGTAATTTTAGATTTTAAATATTATGTCTTTTTTTTGTTTTTAAAATTTAATGTTTTATAAAAAATATATTCATGTTAGTGATTAAAAAACACAAAAAAAAGTAAAAAAAAATGAAAAAAAAACCAAATTAAAAATAAAATAAAAAATAAAACATATTTATTTTCAAAAAGTTGGTGTTGCATCTTGTTATCCATTTCTCACTTGGTGTTATAACACCATTTGCTTATGTGGCATGTGAGGTGACAGAACGTGATGTTGCATTTTGTTGCCCACATCCAATGCTCTAAAACAATTCAAATGATAATATATTGGGTTCACCAAACTAGGCATGGCATTCGTGTCGTGTTTGGGTTGGTGTGTCGCGGGTTGACGGGTCAAAATATCCCAACCTAAACACGATCCATTTAAATATATCACAGGTTGGCGGATCACGAGTTGGTGGGTTTGAAACATAAACCCATATATGACTCGCCAACCCAATTATTTATATGGGTTCACAGGTTAGCGGGTTCCTGGGT